TCGAATACGACGTCCACCCGTCGCGGGATGCACAATGGCGCTCTTGTGCCGGGAAACCCAATCGAGTGAGCGGCGTAGAGCGCGACAGCCTCGTGTGCGTCCCACCCGATATGCTCGCGGCCAGAGACCGTCCTCCACAAGAGCGGCGCACTCGGCGAGCCGCGGGTAAAAGCGCTCGAAAATAGACGCGGGCAACAATAACTCGAGGCGAACGGCGTCTGTCCGTCGATCCGGCATCGGATGCGCCTCCGCAGTTGCGGCTCGCTACGAAATCAAAGGAGCCTGTTTACACTGGAAGCAGCGGCGGGCGCACAATGGCCACCAAAGAGAATAAACGCTCGCGGTGCGTGGCCGCATCGCATCGAGCACGCCAACGCTCCCGCGCCGTACAAAGCCGGACCCTGAATAGCCGCGCCGAATTCAATCCGCAAAACCCGCTCTTCGCATCTGCCCCCGTGGCGTGCGCGGACGGGAGAAAGCCGTTTCTTTCGTGGAAACAGAGATCCTCGAGCGAGGAACCCCGCCGCAGCGATGGAACTCGGGCAGGTGGGGAACTCGGGCAGGTACGCCCACGGGCGATGCAGGTCGCTCGGACTGTTTGCGTCGTGTTTTCGCTTTTCAACGACATGTGCCCGAGTGTGAGTCGAGACGCGGTTGGTTCGCCCAACGAAGAATCTCGCCCTCCAATCTAATTGCATTTCTCGTTTGGAAGAGAAATAATACATTTGACTATAAGATTTTTTTTTCATTATTGAATTATTAAACAAAGCGTCAACCACAAAGAAACTACTAGGTCTGAAAGATAAACGACTAAACTTAAATGCCGCCGAAATTGACGAGAAATGTGAAAGGTTTGCTCTTATTTTTGTTTAACATTCCACATCGGGTCAACTTGCGCATAAAACACAATACCCGCAAAAAAAAGAAAGAAAGAAAGAAACCAATAATAAGCACCTGAACCAAATCGTGGATGAATATTTAGCCAAAGAACGCAAACAGAACAAATTACGATTTGCCAAATGAAGCTATCATAAGTTCCAAATGATGCCTTTATCGGGAGTAATTGACGGAGAATTATACTGAAAGTTTCCAATATTATTTATGGACCAAAACTACTGACCTCACTCTCTAGATTTACGAAAGACCACCAAGAACAGAAAGGGGCCAAACGATGACGATCACGAAGCTATCTGAGAGAAAAACGACCGCGGTACTGTATTCTTCTTTCTCTAAACAATAAACTACTACAACTACACGAGGAGACTTTGGAACTTGCAACTCCTAAGCGACCACCAAATCCCCCCCCCCCCTCCCCCCAAACATCTCCCCCTAGCTGAGTTGTGATTCGGGAGTTTGACGATTTCGCGAGGTCTTCGAAGATGGCCCCCGCGAATGGGTCGCCGGCGTAGGGAGCCTAGGTTTAAGACAGGGGGCAACTCACACCATGGAGTGCGTTTGCAATTTGATGGCGGGTACCCCCCGGTGAGATCAGTCGCAAGTGCGCATTCGACGCGTTGTCGCGTTGCTAGGGAGAAAGCGGGAGGAGAGGCGGAAATGCTCGCAGACGATCGACGCAGCTCGTGTTGCAAAGTTGCAAACGCGAATCCATAAGCCACGTGGCCCCCGGTCGAACAGTCGGAAACACTCTTTGATCGAGGCACAGCATAGTACCGGCGCGACGGTCACCACGCCTCCTCTGGGGCGTGTTGGCCTGACAGGTGACTAGCCGTAAACAGTCAGTCCAAGCAGCCGAGTGTACGAGAGCGGAGCGAGAGGAGCGAGGCGAAGTATCAAAGCGCGGAGGGGAGCGGCGCCTTCACTCCCCCCGTGAAATCAGACGCCGGGCCGCCGGATTAGGCGAGCGAAAATAATCCACCGCGATTAATTATCGCGGAATTAGGAGGCGACCGGTAGACTAAACCGTTTATCACGGCAGCGATGCCGTTTCCAGCGGCCGTCGCTCGCTGCGGGGGTCAGCGGCACCGGGGGGCTGCTGTCGAGCTCGTCGCGCGTGAGGCTTCCCTGCACGGCTCGACGCAGCCTCGGTCCCGTATACTGGGGCGCGTCACAGTTCGCGGTAAATACCGGAGCCGGCTTGGTCGGAGTAAACACGGAACTCTCGGCGGCGTGCGCGACCAAGAGTGTCGCTGTGGTCAGCCTTCCAGGATTGGCTACTAGGACGTCTTGACTATATATGATCAATTTGGTTTTGGATGATGGAAATAAGAGGAGTGCCGGACTGTCAACGTCGACGGTGTTGGTAAGGGCGCGATGACTATACAAAGCGTCCACCGTGCTTTTCACACGCACCATCGATATTGTCGCTAACAATCAATAGTCGTGGTCGTGCCGTCACAGACGGGAACCTCGTCGCCAATTATCGGGGAGAACTTTCTGTGGCATTTCCTACGACAGGAAGAGTGCGCGTGCACAGCCAGCAGAGCTTTGGTCGGCGCCTCCATATATTATGCGCTCCCAGTACTTTTCGCTGCATATATCCACAGAATGTTGTATTTGAATGGAACATAATTTCCTAAACAGTCTGGACGGGAGGGCTCACGGCGTGCCTCCGGCGAAAGTGGCTCGAATAAGACAGCTACAGAAACAAGCCCGGAGAGGTGACGTATAAAAAGGCACCGATAATTAATAATCAAAGTTAACATGTATGTCTGGACGAATGATACTTCGACAGCTTACGTGAAGATTAGCTTCATAGCTAATAAAAATATATATACTTCGCTCGTAGAACGTAATATGTTGTCATTTTCTTTTGTTGTTGTTGTTTCTTGCTTTTTCAAACTACCATTTCTTGTCGAGATCTTAAACAAAGGGAAAAAGCTCCAACATAGGGTGCATCGACTTTCTTACCATCGGATTTAGTCTACATCGCCAGACACACTATTCGGGTCTGGAAGCTTTTCAAAAACAGACCTTCGGAGGGATAGGATTTATCGTTGCCGTGAAATTCGCCCAACTATGTCATCGCAAAGACTCGAAAGGGCGTCACCCAAACCTCTCGGGAATGAAATTTAGGAATCAGTAGCGCCACGACCCACGTCGAGTACTTGTACTATTTATGGTAAAAGTATTTTTCGATGCGAATAAACGATATGATATTGTGCGAAGCATTCCTGGACAGAACAAATGAAATAATTGAGTAGCCTCGTGATCTGAATAGGCGCATGTTGAACGCATACGATTACGGCATCCGCAAGCCTCTTCAGTGACCCACGGTACCCTCATAAACCGCGGGTATCAAGCAGTGCAGAGACAGCGTGCCAGCTACCGCGTCGGTTTTATGTGGGCAGCTGCGCAGTGCAAACTTCCGCAAGAAAATTAAAACGCAGTCTCGCGCACACACGGAAGAAAATTGCGAAAACTGCGAGGGCGCGACGCGAGGTTAGAGCAAGTATGCATGCGAGCTGGTTGAGGATAGACACAGTAACGCTGAAGCTAGGGCACGGGGGTGTGACCTTGGGCAGCGTGTGTCTTCTTGGGGGTTTGTGGGCCTATTCAAGAAGGTGTTCTGAAGAATAAATATTTAGCTGTGTTCGGAGTTTCGTGTCTGTCCGTCCCTTTTTGTCCCCTAGCTCCAGGGTTACTACGTCTATGTGAGGTTGGTTGGTACGACGACCTGAGCAAGGTAGAGGAACGAAGATGCCTATTCCTGAAAAGCGTATATAGTTTGGTTAAAGTAAGCAGCCGATCGTCCTGTACGCCGCATATGCAGGCAGCACGCGGTCAGCACTGTTCGACACCAGGACATGATACTCGGTCGACTACGTCGACATCAATACCTGGCTCAGACTCCCCGTCTTGCAGTTACTTTTGTCAGGTAAATAAAGCCACTTCGCCGCGCGTCCAGACAAGTAGACGAGCGGAGACACCGTGTCTTTCTTCCGAGTTGGGGATGAAAAAGCAGTAGCTCGAGGTGAGTCGACAATTGTGCGCGAACACTTGCCTCGATTCCTCCTGCCGGCCCGGGGAGACAAGCGGGCTGTTGACAGAAGCGGCCGGCGGTGCCCGCTGCTGCGCCCAGTGGCGACAGACAGGGCACACAAACGCAGGGGCCCGCGCCAAACGAAGACGGCGCGGAGAGCGCCGTCAAAGCACCGGGGGAATTTTCCGGTCCCCGGCGCGCGCTGATTCATATGCAAATGCGCCTCTCCCCGCGCGGGCGGGCGGGGCGGTGCCTTTGAGAATATTTGCTCGTGCGCGGGAGAACATCTCGGTGCGGCCGATATGCAAATGAGGGCGGCAGCGCGCACGCGCCGACGCCGACGCTCGCCGACGCCGCAGCGGGGCGACGCCAGGCAACGGAGGCGCCCCCGACGACGCGCTCGTCTCCGTCCTCTGCGCTGCACGGTCACGCCGGCTCCCGGCCACGGGGCACGTGGTCGGATGAGCGAAGAATGCCAGGGCGTGCGTCTTTTTTTTTTTTATTTTGAGAAAGTCGGGTCCCACTGCATCTTGACCGCGAAGAAGCAGTTCTTTGCTTGTTAGAGAAATTGCTCTGCTCATTGTTACTGCTGTGGTCCTGGAAAAACTGGGATAAGGACTTCATTCGAAGTGCCTTTGAGGGTTAATGAACTAAACTGCATTGAGCGCAGAGTACGGCGACGAGAGCCTCAGTGGTGTTTCCAGATTACGCTTGGAACAGACTGAAGGAGGTACACCCGCGTATATAGAAGGAGGATTCAGGCAGTTAAGGACAGAGTTGCAAGAGCTTTGAACACAATCAACAGGGCCGCCACGTTTTATTCGAAATATGTGTAATCTAAATGAGAAACATGGAATTTTCTTAAGTACGGCTGTTAAGAAGAGCCTTAATTATGGACTAGAATCATTATAGACACAAGTAATAGCGGTCACCATGTAACGACACTACTACGTGGCGTTCAATGGACCACCGCTTGTTGTTAAAGGCGACCAGGTATAATACAGGCTGTCGCGACAGCGGCTGCGGGCTACCCGTCAGAAAGAGGCTTTGCTTCAGTTACCTTTGGGGAAGAACGAGCGGTCATCATCGGAATCGTCATCGATGACAACCTCCAACTGAAGGAAGTCATCCAGATTTTCCAACGTCATCTCGCACGCTTCCTTTCACATTCCTCTCTCCAAGAGTCCAGGACCGCTTACCTGAAAACGAGAGAAAGAACAGGCATTAGAAGGACAGGCGTACGTATCTCACAAATTCAGCGGCAAGGAATAAAACTAAATAATCAATGTTAAAAAAAAAAAAGAGGAAGAGACAAACACTGCAAAAGTACGCTCTAAAAAAAAGCGGGAGTCAAGGTGAGTCATTGCGTGCCCTTCTATGACATACTGCTCATACAACAACTGTCTGCAAAATTGTTCCACGTACGAAGAAAGCGCGCCTCGAACATACTTGACGCGTGACCGTACTACATATTTTTGCCATCCGTCCGCAACGAACGTCTTGTCTTTATGCGCGAGCATTAGAACGCTCGTTTTCACGAAAACCCGCCGGTGTCGGTCCATGTGTCAGTGCCTGCATGACGTCGCGAGGACAGTGGGGTGGTGATGGGGTATAAAAAGATTGAGTTGCTTCTATGTTTAGACATCCTGGACGCCTCAACGGGTGACTGTAGATGAGAAACTAAGCCATAACCGCTAACTGGGGTGTTTAAAGCGATGCTAAACAAAACATTAAAAATATGTTTGGTTCAGCATCCTTTTGAAGTGCACCACGCAGTCATGATTACATGGACGCGCGGAGGTACGAAACGTATCCAGGTCGAAACTGGCAGGGATTGAGCCCAGGAGGTTCTGCGACGCAAGCTTTCGCTCCACGCTCTGAGCTAAGACGCGTAAGGCCACTCGGCCACCGACCCTCCAAGGGGAAGTGTCATGTTTACAGATTCAATGTATCACCACGGCGGCGGGGAGAGAGCACTCTTAAAAAATAAGGTTCCCAAAATGGTGGAGCGACCAACTTTTACACCCTCAATCGGGTAAGGAAGGAAGTGCCTTGCTTACTACCTCCTCCAGGAAGACAGACACCAACGCCCCCTATCACCCTCAAAAGAAAGGTTGCCAAAACGTTACCAAAAGGGTGGAATAACCAACTTTTACACCCTCAATCTGCGAGGAAGGAAGTGCCTTGCTTATTACCTCCTCGAGGGGACAGATACCAGCGCCCACTATTTGAAATGCGCTTTCAAAAGGTAAAGTTAGCCCCACGTCACTTCCGTCGTTCTCCTTTGGATTTTGTCGGCGGTGGAACGCTGGTACTTCTCACTTTCAGAAACCATGTTTTTGCGTAAAAACAAACGGAAAAAAGCTCTTTTTGTATAAAAGTTTATTGGAGATTAGTACAAAATGACAGAAGCGTGATGTTTGCATACAATTTTAATTTACGGGGTTTAGCGGCATATTTAATATTGTTTTTATACGACAATGTTACACCTGACTTTCAGGCAGTGTTGTACGGAGCGGCGTTCCAAGGAACGGTGTCCCCGGAACGCGTTCCTTTTAAGAGGAACGAAGGAACGCCGCCGTTCCATTCTGCATCAGTGGAACTGGAACAGGAACGCGTTACATTTTTACTGGAACGGAAAAAGGAACGGCGCTCCTTTCTTTCGTACAGTGGAGTGATTTTTATTTTATTTCTATGAGGAAAATTCTAAAAGTATAAAAAATATCTTTACGAAGAGCAGGAGCTCGTTAACGTTTTGGTTACTTATCTTAGGGTTTCTTTTGTGTGGTCCTCGCTTGGTAACAGTCAAGTGCAGGAGAGCTAGTGGACGTTTATTCGTTTTTGAGTGCCCGAGACTGCGGTACAGAAAGCAAAACGTTTAGTCGAAGGAAAAGACACAGAGAGAGGGAAGTGTCAAACTCAGCTGCTTTCTTTGCCTCCACGAATCCTCATACACCCAGAAATCTAAGGCTGACTACAGCCACCACTAAGCTTTCACAAAGAGACCTAGAGTTACAACAAAACAACAGGTTACCAGATATCGAACGCACTTTTGTATTCCGAACATTGGTCACTTAAAGGGATACTGAAGCAAACAATGCAGTGCCCCTAATAAGTGGCTTACGACCTTTCCACAAGCCAGCAGCCGCCGGTGTGCGCGAGCGCATGCAACGAAATTGACGTCATAAGCCTCCATCCACGCTTAAGATGACAGTGAAATGAATGGTATCCGTGCAAAAGAAGAATAAAGAAAGGCTTTTCATCCCCAGAAATGAAAGCTACGTGCTTGTCAGACCGATTTATCGCCGACCTTTTACACCAGACCTCACAGTGGAGATGAAAAGCATGTATTTATTCTCCTCCTCCCCGGAGCCCACACATTTCACTGTCATGTTAAACGTGAACGGGGGACTATGACGTCACTTTTGTTGCGTGTGCTCACGCACACTAGCGGCTGCTGGCTCGTGGAAAGATCGTACGCCACTTACTATGGACACTGGAATGTTCAATTCAGCATCCGTTTAAAAGATACACAAAAAAAATAACCTTTAGTCCTCCCCTTGTCCCGCACCATAAAACTGAGCAACGAATCCAACCTTCACGAAGAAGGACTTGTAGTTTTCAAGAATGACCTTCTAAAAGCCCTAAGCTCTTCTTCACTTTGTCGTCCTGCGGACAGCAACATCGAGAAGCAACTGTTGTTAAGTTCGAACAAGGGACTTTTGTAGATTGAAACGGGTGAGGTTGTTGTAAAACGCTCGTGCAATGTGGGGTAACAGTACATTTCGCTCGTCTCAATCGTCCACCACAAACGTGAATATGGTTAAAAGCTGAGATTTTTAAACTTGAATATATCAAAAAATGAAACCCTGCTCCCGCCATTTTTTTTCTCCTGGTGCCCTTCCATCACGGCATTCAAATTTGTATGTTCCCATTTAATGAGATATATATAAAAGAAAAGCTTTGCTTGATCTAACTAAACATAGTACTAAGCAAAATGCATATGTAAAGTATACGTAACGATACGTTCCATTTTTTTAACTGTAACGGGGACGAGTTCCTTTTTCACAAATGTAACTTGTAACGAACGCGTTCCAAAAATCCGAAGGAACGAGGAACGAGCTTTCGTCCCTTCTTTTGAGGAACGTGTACAACACTGGTTTCAGATAGCACGTCCCGATCTGGGTACGTCCCGACTTCGGCGAATAATAGCGGCTCGCCCGCTTGGGATACAGGGGTTGGCAGCCCTGAACCCCTTCTTTTGTATACGTTTCAGCGCTGAAATGGCCGATCAAAGCCAAAATTGAACAGTAGCAGGAAATGCTACCGTGTGCGATACTGTGACAACGCTGAGTGGTCGCTGCGGGATACATGGCGGCGATGTGATCGCGTTTAGTTAGGTTTTCGGGAACTGATCGGTGCCACTTTTTGTATGCAGGCTACTGTGGCAGTTTCCCAATCAGTATTCTAGTAGCGTTGAGGTAGCCCCAGAAAGGGTGTAAGCTGGTTGACTCTTATTGCCCCCTAGAAGAGATGAAGTCACACCCTTGAAGCATGTGCTCCCACTCTCAAAAAGAGTGGAACCTTCAACCCAAAAAAGTGCCCTATTACCTTTTAATGGAAGTAAAATTACACCCTTGATATAAAGGCTATTGCTCCCCATTAGAGATAAGGTTGTCTCGCCAAGGGAGCACAGGTGCACCCTTACATAGAGTGTAAAAGTTGCTCCCAAGTGGAAGGGGTAACTTTGCTAACCTTTTGAGACGAATTCCAGGGACAAGCAACTTACACCCTAAAAGGTGTGACAACAGGAACATTTTTCTTTACGAGTGAGGGAGAGCGCGACGCGTGTTGACGTCAGCAATTCGGACCAATACGAGCGTCGCACAGCTGGCGCGGAGTCAGAGACGAGTAGGTGCCGCGCCGCTTTGGAATGCGGCCCAACTGAGTTGCCGCTCCGGCGACGGATGTGGTTCTTTCCACGAGTGATATGGATGACCGTATCCAAGAGCGACGACGGAAGAAAGCCGAAGCCACGCGATCATTGAATAGAATCCCATTGATCGTCGAGCCAATTTTACAATATATGTATGAGCAGCGCGACTGTGGTTTTAGGCTAAATGAGCGCTTTACACGTTCCAAGGTCACCACTGGATTATGATCAGCTTGTGGCGTACCGTAGTTTTAGACCAAGACGCAAATGAGGTACAATTGAACAGACTCGGCATAAAAACTTTACTCATCAATTGACTAAATAAAGAAGAACAAAATCCTTATTAAACAAAACTAGGGTTAACTAGGAACTTCGAGATCATGGAAAAATATATAGAGCAATATCAATTGAATGACTAATGATGTAATACAAATGCTGCTATTCGGAGAGCAGATTTCAAGGGCTCCTTGCTCCCTGTTAACTATTACTAAATGTAGGTATAGTACGGAGCAGGTTAATACTTTATCTACGTATGAATGCGTAGCTAAGTTAAAGGGAGTCCAAAACAATGGGAACTATCAACGCATTGAGGTAGCGACGTCATAATGTGCTTTGGCGTTTATCTCGTCTCAATAACGTAAAGCTCAACATACTTCGTGGGAAGGGTAAAGGTTACAATAAAGGTGTCTTGATCTGGTCGATATCGTTATGAAAGCAACGTATTACAATCAAGAATCCCCGCTTGCTCTTTTCCTTTTTTTTTTTTTTACGAAAGTCAGAATTGTGCACCACGTGCAGCCAGCGCATACAGCGCTCAACAGGCTGGTAGCGCAAATTTGGTCGTTAATACTCCGTCTATGTTCGCTTTCGCAACGCCACGAACTCGAGTAGCCGTGCAGCAAACCGAGAAGCAGCTCAACGACTGTAACTCATGTCTTGCATCTCATCTCGGACATGTCGCGAAGGGAGGGCAGTCCAGGGAGCAGCCGTGCGCGTCCACGAGATGGCGGCACAAAAGTGGGTCTTATCACTTAGGACAGCCTCGCGCTTCATTCAAATCGTAATTGCCTCGTGGAATCGCGCGAGCGTTCCCAAATTAACGGAACAAGATTAGCCGAGCACTTGACAAAGCGTAAGAGGGATGGGTTTAGAATAACCAAAGCGGGTTTACGCTCTGTTGCCGTTACTATAGATCTGCTCATGCCAGTTTAGGGGAGTAGCTTGTCTTCCTCAAGGTCCGTTTCATTGGC